GTGTGTGTGTGTGTGTGTGTGTGTGTGTGTGTGTATTCATATCTTTGTTTGGAGGCATCTTTGTGACTCAAAATGTGGTTTTAGTGTCGGGGTTACAGGTTCTGGGTTGTGGTTGGAGGCCAGTGAAGCATTATGTCCATGACATGTCCTCACTGTGATATGAAAACGAGTGTGTGTGTGCGTGTAGCCAGTAGGTGGCGCTGCTGTCACGCCTCGTGGACGTTTGGTGTCTGGACGAAGGCCCGCTGTCTGTGTTTTGAGGATCATAAATGCGTCTCCAGAAACACAGCTGATTATTTTTGCTCTTCCTGTAGCACGCAGTCAGAGATGAAAGTACTTCCTGTGGAAACAGAAGCTCATAATGACACGAGGAAATGTGTTTCCTTGTAAAAAATCCATCATCTGGAAACTCTATTTTAGCTGCACGTAGTCTATCAGAGAGGAGTGAAAGGTTCCCGTGCTGGAGGCAGAAGCTAACGTCAGAGCGTTTTGTCCCGTGCCTGACTTCCTGCGGCGCCCTCTGCGTCGCTGGAGCACCTTTACCTCCAGTTTGTCTCTGACTCCAGGAGGGTTGGTGGTAGGACACAGCTGTTAGCTCTCTCCCGTCCCTGCGTCCTTCTCGGAGGTGAACTGAGGGTAAACCACAAACCCCCAACAGCAGTGATGGATGGAGCCGTCCTGGCCTATCCTGGCCCGCCTGTCTCTTCTTAGGACGCGAGCGCGCTTTAACACCACACAGCTCCCTTCCTCGATGTCTGGCCCATTAATCTGAGCCCGGTGTCACCGAATCTGTCTTCAAGCCCTTTATGAAGATTGGAGACAAGGTCTCCGACTTCCTGCAGCGAGACGAATAGCGAAGCTGTGTTTGAGCTTGAAAGGCCAGGATGACAAGTTACGGCGTGGAGTGGATCGCTGCCACGGCTCATTGGAAGCAGATGCTTACAGGAGGCTGGGATTGATGTCGAGGAGTCATTACAGCGCTGGTCCCAGTGTTGGTTTAATGGCCCGGCCTGTGGAGCATGTGTGTCAGCTATTAACGGGCCAGAGGGAACTCGTTGTCTTCGCTCTGCCTCATCGTGCACCGCTGACTGATCTGCATCCGCTCAGTTGTGGCGAAGCTGTAAAAAGCTCTAATGCGACGCTGTGAACTCCATCACAGTGTTCCTCGACTAATAATCGTAGCAGCTTCAAACTTATGGGGACCAGGAAGAAGGAAGGAAGGAA